AAAGCCTAAATAATACTGACTACAAACAATACTGAATCGACAAATTTCTTGTTCTTTCCTACCTCAGGATAATTTAACAACAAACGCTTCTTAATTATGTTCTCTCGTTTAATAAAGCAAGGAGCAAGTATTGTACATTATTTCGATGTATATAATTTATATTTATTTAAAGAATAACTTTCCTTTGTTTCTTTAAAATACGACTGTTAATACGATTTCACTTCTGTTCTTTTTTTTCCCCGATATTTTACGGCGAAGGAATTATGACGATCAAGTATGACCGTCATCATTTGTCACTCTTGCACTGCCAAATTTATTAAGGTAACGAATGTAGTGTACGTCTAATTGGTACAGTTCATAATTATCTCTTTTTTCTTCTTCCTTCTCCACTTTTCTCCCCTTGGTCCTTTCTGTTTCTTGCGTTCGTTTGATTTGAAAATACGGCTGCTACTTGTTTGTATAGGTTTACAGCTTTAAGCCGAGCGATTACTATTAGCGTAACACGATACTTATTCCTTCCTAATATCGAGCTAAAGATTACACGTCGATATACCCGTTACACAATGTTTTCTGCAATAATGTAGTGCTATATCTAATCTAATTAGTACTTATCGCCTACGGATAAGCGTACTCCTACAAAAAAAAGAAAAAAAAGAGACAAGCGGATAGGGAACACGATCGCGAAGTGCATTTACAATTGGAATACCATAACGATTGCGTTTGCGAATTTTGAGTATGCAGACTTCTCTTACGTTCTTTTCACGTTATTTGTTGCTACCGCGCATTCGTTCTTATGACTCGTATTAATTTATAATTGGTGCAATCGATAATTTTAACGTTATCGCAAACGTTATCACCTTATTTCACCTTCGATACTTATAAGAAATGTAGAACATTAATGTTAATGTTGCAAAAAGTCTGGAATATATTATTGTCATAACTAAGCGAGGGGACACATACCATACCCAAGCGTAGATCTATAATTTAGCGAACGCTCGAAATTGATTTAACAACGGTCGCATTAAGAATCTTCGCATTTTATATAAGAGCATCGTAATATAAATAATATACATATATATATTGATACGATATTTCAGTAACATAATACAATTCCGCTGTTAACTAGGAATAGAAAGGATTATCTGCATGCACGCGATTAAACGAAACATGCACCTAGCGTAAGCATATGTATACTTATATGAAAAAAAAAGAGAAAAAAATAAGGACACACGTATAATAAAAATTTCAAATTCTACACCCGCAGTGCACATTGTTTTCCGGAAGAAACGAGATGGAAGCCAGACGGATATATTCGGATAATCTTGGTCTGATATGAGAACCTGCGTGATAAAAGGCGACGTTTTTCGCAATGTCACTCGCGCTATCAGCGCAATAAATCTACCTTGTCTATAAATAACGAAGAACGATGAGTATGCATCGATATCTCATTTTATTCCCCGTACAGTTAATAATGTCGTATCTTCCATACGTATCTTTAGGAAGGCACCGTGCAACGTTTTATAGTCTGTTGGAATGACACAAGTAGATGTAAAACCGGAGAACTAAAATACCATGATTTATTTTGCGCAAACGTGATGATATATTTAGTTTACAGTGATTGTTACGTGCGTTAACAGATCGAGGAACTTATTATTAGATAGGAATAT